TTCCCTACAACTCGTGAGAATCCTCGATCTGCGGGCGCCTTTCATCCTGTGTGGGAAAGTGCATACCTCGGCAGGCAGGGATAGCGTGATGCCTACGGCCGCAGATCACACCTGGGGGCACAGCTTCCCAGGCTTGACCCCAGACCTTCCTTCGGTTCTAGAACCTGTTCATAGTAAACGCCCTGATGGAGCTTTGGGATCCCTGGGCCTGAGCACACTGGCTGTAAGTCAGCACCCCTGAGGAGCTTTGGAGACTCTTGCCAATGTCCGGTTCTGAGTCAGGCTCGAGTGGAACTGTACGCTGCTGAGTCTCAGAGCTCCCCGGGGCACTCTGGTATACAGCCAAGGGGTGATCAGAGTAGTGTGCAGTATACCAGCATCTGGAGACTACAAATAAAATCACCCACCTCTGTCACACTCAAAACGAGAGAGCACGTACTCGTTACTTTTGCTGAAATACTCTTCTTGGGGTTGAAAACCTTTTTTTACTAAGCCAAACTGTGTTTTTGTAGGTCTTTTATTGGTCTCAGGCCGTCATCTCCGGCACAAAAAGTAAAACAGGCGATTTTTTACGTGAAAGAGTTTATAAGTTTTATGATTGCCTCGCGGCCCACCCCTGAATAATCTGCAGCGGTATCCTTGGGCCTTGTTTCTCCACCTTCCTTGCGTATCAGGAGTACCGGGTGGGCTTGTTAAAGCAGGTTGCTGGGCCCCCCAGGGCTTCTGATCACTTCTGACGGGTGTCCAGGGGCTGCTGATGCTGCTGGCGGGGGCCCCCACTTTGCAAAGCCCTGCCCTGGGGCTCGCAGTAGGTGTTTGAGAACTAAATAGGGGAAGATGGCTATCAGCACAGCTCAATGTAAAACATACTAATTGTAATGAGCGCTGACCTCTCAGACTGTGATTTATCGAGCAGCAAACTAGGTGTAAGTGCTTGACGGGGTAATGTTTTTAATGTGGCTGTGTAATGCCAGCTTCAAGATAAAACATCCCTGTACCTGGATAGTGCTTGATGCTGGGAGCAGAAGGCCCAGGAAGGTCGTCAGGATTTGCATTGTCATCTTCACCTGTAAGCCTTGTGAATGGCAAGTGGAGCTGAGTCAGCGAGTTTTACAACCCCCTGCCCCTTTATTCTGAGGCGGGGTGGTGCAGCTGCTCTAAGTAAAATGGGCCCCCTGTATTATTCGCTTGGGTTTGCAAAACAACTCGTCTCCTTGGCACACACCGCAAAATGCAGGTGATAGTAACTTGCTTCTGTTCCTGAAATGTTAAAAATATACACAAGAAAGTTCCCATCTTAAATTTTGTAATTTATTGATTGTCTTTTCTTTTAAAAGAGCAAAAAAACATTGTTGGTTCCAACACCACGACTGAGAACGGGGTTGTTTAATAAGATCACACCACCCCCCGGGGCAACTAAAGACATCTTGAGAAAATGTGCCACCTCTCAGGTAAGTGTGCAAAGCAGCAGCGGCCACAGGGAAGAGCCGTTCTCAGCCGTGGCTTCTGGTGAGTTAGAACAGTGGAAATGCGCCAGAGCTGAAATGCGTGTTTAACAAAGCCAAATGAAGAGTGATGTTAAGTGTTCAGCAAGCTTGTCACTACAGGCGCCAAGCAGAAAAACCGCCTGTAACTCGGTTTTTCTCTTGCACTAAGCTGAGAAATAGTAAATTCCCCCGTTAATTAAGAAAAGGGAAAGCCAATTTTCCAGTACTCTGACGCCCTCTGGTGTTAACTTTTGATGCTGTTCAGTGCCCTATAGCATTTTCTCGGATGCCACCAGAGCAAATGGGGACACAGGGTAGAATTTCCAAAATATGTTCAACTGGAAATTGCCTCACCAAGTGCTAAAGTAATAATGGCTTTAGTGATTTAGCGATATGATTTTCTTCACTACCTCCCGACGCCATAAAACCAGTGTGTAAATATCACATTAGAGTGCCTTATAATGGAATTTGTCTAGTATTTTAGAGATGAAGAAATAGAATCTGGTGACTTTTCAGAGTTCTAGAGTTGACCCCAGGTCATTTGATTCCTAATCCGGTGGGAAGAAGAAATAGGGCATCAAGATATTCCTTTTAAAAAGGGATTTTCCGCTTAAGTCTAGTGTATAAAAAGTGAATGCTTTATCGTTATTTATTGACAACCTGTCTTATTGCAAAAATAGAATTTGATGTAGCATACAAAAAAATATATAATAAAGTAAGATAATAAAATACATGTAGGAAAAAGAACGAAGGGAAAATAAATGCAGAAAAATAAGAGATAACCCTGGTTCTGGTCAGTGTTCAAAGTGCCCACCCCGTGATCCTTTGCAGTTGGCGGTTGTGGCCACAGATCTGAGCCCATACTTTCGCGAGCTGGCAGGGAATGTGATCTGTTACAATTGATAGGTTCCGGACAGTAAGAGCAGCCCCTTTCCACGTATTGAGGTCCAGGTCAGACATGGCCGTGGTGCTGGTGTAGCGGTCTGTGTCACCCTTAACAGCATCCCACTCCCCTGCGAAGGGTGACCGGCATGGGGCTCGTTGCCAGGAGGCCCTGTGAAGTGCCAGCACTGGCTGGTCCCGACCAGGGTCAAGCCAGACCAGCTCTCACAGCTGAGCTTGAATACAGATTGAACTGTGTTTGGGCTCTGTTATATCGTGAGATACCGGGTGGAAATCAGAGATCCAGGGCCGTGAACCTCAGAATGACAGAGCGCGGGTAGAAAAAACCAAAGATTTTTGTTTTCTTTGTGGCAGAGGAAAAATGGCAAAGGAGGGAGAGAGACTGTTGAAGCCACGTCTAATGCAGATGCAAATTTAGTACGATTATTATTTAGGTTGCCAAAGCTTAGTGGTGAAATGCTGCCACCGTGCATATCACTGTAGGAGACTGTGATGTAGCCTTACTTCTTGGCGGATAAGACTCTGAGATTGTCCCTCAGCCCTCTGCTACTGTCACACCGCAGCCACCTGTGTGTGCCACCGTTGTCTTTGTATTTACTCTTTGACTCAGGAGTGTTCTGGTAACCACCCCAGGGGGCAGACAGAAAGGTCTGTTAAATGCTTCATAAGTCCCTCTGCCCATCCGGTGACTCTTGGTTGAATAGAACAGGATCTTGGAGAGTCAGGGTGACTCCTGGTTGCTCATGCTGTGTCTGGTCAGACTGAGCAGGTGAGGCTGAGCCCCCTAGAGAAGAGGGGGCCTGACAGGTTACGACACAGAAAACCCCAGGCAGGTGCGTGCTCCGCAAGGCTGCCAGGCACCAAGCCCACTGAAACAGGCTTGAGGACATGGGCCGTGGGCAAGAGACCTGCCTGCGTGGCCGCTGTGAGCTTAACGAAAGACACGCTTTCCTGCAGTGGGGGCACTGCGGGCCGATGACTGCGGTTTGATGGTTGGGAGGCCCCAATCATGGTACCGATCCTATAGGGACTTGTCACGTGCTTGTCGACAGGGCACCATACCACATCCAGTGACCACTGCTGCCGGGTACTGGGCCGTGCAGCATCCTACTCTGGTTTCCGAGATTTCCCTGTCGCCTGTTATCAGAATCAGGGCCACAGGAGCCTCCCTGTGCTTTGCACACAGGCCTCCATTAGTTAGCATAAGTGGGTGTGTTTTTGGGTGCTTTTTGGTTGAATAATTAACATGTTAGGAGTGATCAGCTGTTCACGCAGAGCGAGGCCTCCAGTGTTTCACAGTGAACTAATATGTCACACACGCTCAATGGCCATGTCTTACGTGCTAGACGCTTTACCTGCGCTCTGTCATTTCATTCCAACATGTCGGACGAGGCAGGGCTGGTACCCCTGTCTTACAGAGGAAGAGACTGAAGCTCAGAGAGTTTCCCCCTGTTGAGGCCACAGAGGAGAGGGATCTGGACCCAGTTCCTTGTGACTCCCGAGCCTGTATTCTAATCGCTGGGCTCTCCTGCCTTTTGGAGGAAAATGATATGTTGAATATTACGAAATGAATATTCTAGTCATTGTGCTATCAGTTCCTCCTTTCCTGGGGAAGAATTGTGGGGAATTGTCTTAAAATGGTTCTGATCCATGGTTTTCCTGAGCTGCTGCTTCCGTGATGCTGTGTGTTTGCTGTGGGCTGGTGCACGTGCTTGCTTCCCTCGGGAGGTTGTTCAGACCCTGAGTGCATCTCCCCGTGGGTTATGAGACGGGTGGCCTCTCTGCCAGGGAGCTTTCAGGCCGCGTGTCTGTCCGCAGGGCGTGAGGAACTACAGCACTCCCGTGGGCTTGGATTCCAGGGTCCTTGTGGACTTAGTGGTGGTGGGGTCCGTGGCTGTTTCTGAAAAAGGTAAGATTAAGAACAGAAACTCTCGGATGTGACCGCTTACCCTGCAGCCTGACGTTCCCCCAGCGCTCCGGTCGCCTTTCAGACGTTGATGGTGAGTAATTTCAGCTTTCTGGACGCGTGCCTGGCCTGCATATTACCACTGCGTCTATCACTCATTTTGAAGAATTAACTCGGTCCCTCTGACTCTCAGACCCACTCAACACCTTTACAGCATTTTCACTTTTCATAACAGGACAAATAAAGTGAGATAATCTCTCTTCAGGTGGTGAAAGATTTCCCCTCTGTTCTGAAGTTAGCTGGAACTGGAGCTGAATTTATTTGCAGTGCGTCAGTAAACAGTTGTTTTTGGAGAGCCTCCAGTAAGTGGAGAAACGTTGGGTTCCGAAGCTCTATTTTGTTGTGAAGCAGCAGGCTCCTGGACAGTGCGGGGTGTCCTGAGCCTGCCTCTGAGGCCTGGAGCTTCACCCCGCAAGCCTGTGAGCAGGGACAGGGTGGGTCACTATGCCAGCCTCTGCCCTGGGCTGAGCCGCCCTCAGGACTCGTCTCTGGGGTTCCCTAGGGCCTCTTCCTCTCTGCCCTGCTCTGCCCCAGGCCCAGCTGGGTGCTGTTGGAAACGAGCTGCTGGTTCTGCAGCAGGATGAGCACATTGCAGAGCCGTGCTTGTGTGGTGTGATTGGGACCCCCAGCCTCGCTAGGAAAGCCTTCTCTGTCCTCCCTTCCCGCCAAGACAATGTCCTGAGATGCTCATCCTCAGATCTCCCTTTGGAAGGTAATCGGCCAAAGCCAAGTTCTTCCTTCAATAGAGGTTCCAAATAAACAGTTGGAGAGCAGGCTCTAAATC